ATATTTAGGTGGCTAGCTAAATATTTAAGTTACTAGCTAAATATTTAAGTTAAATATTTAGGTAACTATCTAGCTAAATATTTAAGTTAAATATTTAGGTAGCTAGCTAAATATTTAAGTTGCAAGCTAAATATTTAGCTCAAAACTAAATATTTAAGTCACAAGTTTAATATTTAGTTTGTTAACTAAATATTTAATTTGTAAGTTAAATATTTAGTTTATAAACTATGACATTTAATCATATGGTGAAAAACTAACTTTGAAAAATAAATCTGTTCTTTTTTTCTTAAAAGGCTAAATAAAACAAAAATATTGGTGGTAACTTTTGAATATGTAACTTTACAAACGGCACCTCATACGTCTCGCTGCAGGAAACCTCAGGAGATACAGAYTCTTAAAGTATTAAATATAAAAAACAAATTTCTGAGTAATGAAATGATTTCTTTCTTAAAAACACCAAACGAAGCTGAAGTTGTGTTTAAAGGAGTGCTGGAACAACATCAGACGTATCCTGTGATGTCATATCCTGCTGCGGTGGGCTTCTTCGCTGCCTGACCTTGACCTGACCTCGCGCTGGACTCTGAGCCCCTGCTCGGCCCGTGGAGGAGTGTCTGCCCCCTGCCRGCCCCCTGCACCTGCAGGGCGGGGTTCCAGTAGACCTGTGAGGTCGTTCGAAGCCCAGGGCCGGTCATAGCCACGCCCGACGGGTATGGGTACCCTCCGCCGGGCCGCCCCCCGCGGCCTCCCTCCTGCTCCTCCCAGCACGACGCACTCAGCATCCCCCCGCCCAGCATGGAGATGAGCGCCGAGGCCAGGCCCAGGTACAGGCACTCGCCCAGCTCGTACTTCATGCCGGCGGGGATATTGGGGCTGTAGAACGTCTGGACCACCTCATGCGTGGTCCAGGCCACGGGCACCAGGGCCATGAAGCCAGCCGAGAGGAACAACCCCCCGCCGGCCCCCGCCACGCGACTCTTCACCCCACCTGAGCCCTCCAGGCAAAGGGTGCACTGCATCCCCAGGGCTGCCAGGGCCACGGCGAGGACGGACAGCACCAGGGAGATGACCATGAGGGCCCGGGAGGCCTGCAGGTTGGAGGGCAGCGCCAGCATGGAGTTGTAGGTCTCACACTGGAAGGCCCCCGTGCTCTGGTACACACACTCCATCCACAGACCCCGCATGTTGGCCACCACCGTCACGATGTTGGAGCCGATGTGAGCCGAGATCTGCCAGTACGGCAGCACCGTGGACACCAGAGTTCCCAGCATCCCCAGGAGGCCCAGGAAGAAGCCCATCAGCTCCAGAGCCGCCGAGGCCATGACTGCGACGGCACCGGGCCGGACCTGAAGGAGAGCAACCACATCGCAGATCCACAGAACATCAGTTCTCTGCAGGCAAGGTTTACTGGACCAGTAAAACAACCAGTCCTCATAAACTAAATGAGAATACATTAATATTTCATCTTGATATTTGAAATTTGAACTTTATTTAAAATAAAAATAAAAAGATTGTCTTGAAATAGCTGGAAATAAACACAAGATTTAGCCTTTTATAGAATACAGAAATTTCACGATTCGATTCGATACTTTAGTCTCACGGTTCGATATTTTTTCGATACAAAAAGAGAAATGTCCACGCCCATTTTAACTTGTAATTCATTGAAATTAATTATGAACATTTGTTTAACCTCAAAAGTACAGTTTT